TTCTAATTCTCATTGAAATAATAATGCATACTCGAAGAAATACGCCATCGTGTTGGGGTTCAATATTTTGATTCTTTATTGCGACATGTTCAGGAATAACAATTCATCCATATTTACATGCTTAGGCCTATAATGCAATATTCTCTTCCTCTTTTAATAAACCATTAGGTAGACCATAAAAGTAACAAACACGGTAAAACGTAATACATTCTATATTCGATGTTTTGTATTTTCTTTCACCTGAGTAGGTTGAAATAGATAAGGATAAACACTTTTTGTAAATATTTAGTGTATCTTGGAAAGTAAATGGGGATATTGTGTACAATACTAAACATAAGACCCATACACAACCCATCAAAAGTTAATATGTCATGTCGTTAGTCAAAATTTATTCACCAGACCACACGATAAATAAAAACCATCATAGAACTGCAAGTGGTCTGGATAGCATTCGGACGGGTGGTAAACAAACCTATAGGCCTAGGCCTATTACATAGAGTTTGTGAGTGTTTTGTGTAAAAACAAAAACAAAACAAAACAAAAAAAAACCAAAAACCGGTCGGGCCTCTTTGATGGTAGGGAGGGGATGCTAACCAATTATTTTATTTTACATGGTCCAATAATACAGTGCTCAAATACGGTATATAGTTCATCAACGAAAGTTTCTTATAGTTGTATGAAAAAAGAGTTCTCTGGCGGAAATATATATATATATATGTGTGTATATATACATATATATTATGTACAACATCATCATTGTATATATATATATATTTATATATATATATATATACAGTATCATCATTGTATGACGTATGTTGCATTAGTATTTCTACTCTTGTAAGATATCGATGAATGTACAAGAGGAACTGACAGCTGTGACGCAATTGCAACTTGTATCAACACAAATGGTGGCTTTGAATGTAAATGTCCAGATGGATATGTGCTGAATACTAACAGTTTCAAGTGTGATGGTAAACGTTTTGTACAGTATTTAATTCATATTAATATTTATTTGTATAATCTATAAAATATTTATTAAAACTACACCATAAGTATTATTTTTTTATTATGACACGTTTCTACAATTTTTAATAATATTTTGTAAAAAATGTTACAATGATCTGGGTTTTATTTTAATTTTAAGACATAAATGAATGCTTAATAAGTAATGAATGTGCGGTTTTTGGAAGTAACTGCATCAATAATCAAGGAGGCTACGAATGCGAATGCACTGATGGATTCTTTGGTAACGGATATAATTGTCAAGGTAGGTGAAGAAAATATAAGATGGATTCCGAAAATGCAGTATAACATGCAACATAAAGTTTTTTTGTGTAATATATAATAATACAAGGAACAGCATAGTCAATTCAGCTAGAAAGTCTTGAAGATGCTTGGTCTAAGCCAGTGCTCCCCACACCGTGGTGGGTGGCGGACCAGAAATGGACCGCTAATAATTATTAGTGGGTCGCTTAACGTCCTTCTACATTCACGCTATATCTGTCTCTGAAGAAGAGAATAATTCGACAACAATATGTATTTTAATAGTGATTAAACTAGTTAATAGTTACTGATAGTTGCCCAAAAATATAGATATGTAAATAATTACAAACAGTATTAAAATTCATTGCTATGGAAATACAATTAATACAAATGCTTTAAAAAAAATAGATAAATGTAATGGAAAATAATTTATGTAAACCTTTTGATATCTAAGTTTGGTCATTGCGTATCGTCTTATTTATAAAGCTCAATAATGACGCTGTGAGTGAACTGAATGGTTCGCTGGTGTAAGGACGACCGCGCCAAAATGGGTCCCCGGAAAAAGGTTTGGCAAGCGTTGGTCTAAACTTTATTGACGATCTGCATTTCAAGCACTTAAAATGTTGTGAGAATGTTTATCTTTAACAATTTAAAATTCATCGTAACCACTTTTTGTGATACGTTTTCCATGAAAAAAAAAATAAAATAAAACGAGCAATTGTAGGGCAATATCGTATCAGCCATAAACATAGGCCTTGTAAACAAGTCATCTGATTATATGATGCAGGTTGCATTATCCCAATTAGGTCTACACAATGGAAGCGGGAAGAGCTGACTCCTTGCCGAAGAGGGAAAAAACGCAATTCTACTTTTATGTAATTTTTACAGTATGGGAGACTAAAATCAATCAAATAAGCCTTTCAAATCCCTAAATTGTCAAAGTTTTCCCCTGGACCTTTTCAATTCGGTCGAAACTGTTTCGTTTGTTAATGTACATGATGCTACTTTCAAAACTACTTCTTTTTGTTTTTTAGCTGATTTCTTTTTTCCTTGGGGAATTGAGCAAGGTGATAGTAGTCTCAGTGATAGTTTTGAAATGTCAATGGATCAAATCCCAGAGAAGGTATCACCAACATTTAGACCGACGAATGGATTTCCTTTTTTTGGAGATTTCATCTATAGTATATACGTAAGTATTTACCTCATTATGTCCCATACTAATAGTTGATAAAATATGGAATTTCTAATCTAAATATATGTTCACAATGAACAGATTTTGTTTACATATACAGTTCAAATTGATTTTTTTTGTACTTTGTTTTAGTTTACTGTAAATGGCGTAATTGTTTTGTCAAGAGAAAACGAACGGAAGTTTGGACTTGCATATCCCCCCATTGGTGGAATTACCATTAATTATCCACGAAAAGTTATCGCCCCTTATTGGGCCGATTCAGACTTATCTAACAGTGATATTGGTGAAGTATACTATAGTGTAAGTTATTTTTAAATCTTATGTTAATTTGATGGTAGGCATACGTAGACACATATACATGTATACTCATGATGAAAAATGCCCAATATTATTTTAACAGATATACAGTAGCAACATTGAAACTGTGTCTGATCGTGACAGAGAAATGTTATCTAATGGAACAGATCGTGTAAGAACGTTTCAAGACAAAACGTTTCCAAGTGATCAAATTATATCCGATTTTGTTGCTAACTGGATGCTTGTAGTAACGTGGGACAAGGTTCCACAATATCCTGTGGACAGCAACGCAGACAAGGTACATGTAATGTTATTTGTACTATATATTGCATACAGTATGTTGCTACCTTTTTTTTACTACGAATGTATTAAACTTTAATCATTTAACTATGATTTCGATTGTTTAAGTCACATTTTAGTAAAAGATTCGACCACATTTGGGGTGAATGATTATTCCATTCTTTTCATTTCATATACATACATACATACATACACACATACATACATACATACATACACCCATACATACATACATACATACTGTACATACATACATACATACATACATACATACATATATATATATAAAGTATTATATACATATATATATGCATATATAAACACACATATATATATATATATATATATATATATATTTATATAGACAAACAGGTTTCTTCCCGTTTTACTCGTTCTTCTCAAACCCTCAAACTTGTTACTCCACGAGTCAAGCATATTCGTACCGGTGAGCGCTCTTTTTCTTTCTCTGCTCCTAAACTCTGGAACTCTCTGCCTCCTCAATTACGTATCATTTCTGATCCGCAATTATTCAAATCTACTCTTAAATCATTCCTCTTCAAATAGTTCAACTTCTTTCTTACATCCTCCAGCGCCGGTGACAAGCCAGTTTTGTTTGCTTTAATAGGCGCTTTAAAAATGTGTATTATTATTATTATATACATACAGTATATATAACATATAAAAACAAGGAAAAACAATGTACAATCATTGAAGGTTGACTTGCAAAACACAAAGTTATTAAAATATACAAAATCAAACAGTTTCGATAGCTCCTGCCGCTATAATTATCAACTTTAACGGTGATAAATAGAGCAGGAGCTATCGAAATGTCCGTTTGATTTTGTTATATTTCAATAAATTTGTGTTCCGCAAGTCAACATTTAATGAGTGTACATCGTCTTTACGTTTTATCTCACTTGGAGCATACATGCTCCAAGTGAATTGAATTGGATTGACTGACCAGGGTGTGTGTGGTAAGTTAATTAATTATGTTGATAACCTTAAGATGTTTCATCATCAGCTAATGCAGGTCCACTGCTGGACGAAAGTCCCAGCCAAATCAATCTCATCTCTTCATCTTTTACGTTGGCTTCCCTTGTTCGTTTTGCCATACATGGGGGACTCCATCCTGCTACTGCTTTTTGTTTTAAGAGGCTTAATACTTAACTACAATTTATTTATATGCCATGAAAATGCTTGCACCTAGGGCTGAAACATAGCCTCAGCCACTTTGACAGCCTCAACAATGCAATCTGGGGTATCTATGTACATAGCCGCCCGAGAACTCCTGCTGACTACAAGTTAAAAAACTAGAATGAAAACCACTGAGCCTAACTGCATATTTAACATTATTGTTGTTATTATTATTAATAATAATAATAATAATTATTATTATTATTATTATTATTATTATTATTATTATTATTATTATTATTATTATTATTATTATTATAAAAAAAATAATAATAATAATAATTATTATTATTATTATTATTATTATTATTATCATTATTATTTTAATATTATTAATTTTAAATAAACCAAATAAACTTTTGTTTGCGATAACTAATTACCATTCTCCCTGACGAACCCTGATCATGAACTGTAAAGATAGCCAAAATAGAGCCTTTTCGACCCGAGTTCTTATTATTTTCCATCCATAACCTGATCGTTTTAGCATTACACTTCGATTTTTCGCATTTCTATTTCATACCCTCTTCGCAGACGTTATTTGGTTTCTGAGATGTCTTTTTGGTAACTGCGCATGCTCGACATGACTCGACAACGCGCATGCTCACTGTGTTTTAATAGATATTACGGACGTTCTTTGGTAACTGCCGCATGCGCATTGCTTAGTTCGGAATTCCCATTTTCTTCGTAGTAAATGCTACCGCTACCTACCGTACTGTTTCTTAATGACTGCTACCTCTTGATCGTAGTAGCCTAAAGGTGCGGCGTGAAAAATGCAATTAGTCAGTCAGTATAGTTGTTCACACTATAATATGCACATCAGTATATAAATATAGAACACTGATTTACTAGGAGTTTGATTGTATTAATTACTGTACAATAATAACTGAGAAACTTTTATATATTACAACTGAATTCATTTCATTGCATTTTCATTTACACTTTTTTTTTTTATAAGAACACATTTTATAAGAACACTGAGGCTGAAAAAGGCTTAAAAATTAAGAACAAAATAAGAACAATTTGAGTCTGAGGTAAAATGTCAAATGAGATTTTTATTTTTAAAACCTAGAAAAACCAAAAAAAATAAATATATGTACCTTATGTGCAGTAGGTGTGACTACTGTATGTAATGCCCTCTATAATACAGTACAGTAGGTGCAGGCCTACGTACCTGTTATTTGTGGCCGTTTTTTATTTTTTGCAGGGGCCATTTTTTGCAGGGGCCATTTTTCCGGGGCCAATTTACCTACATTCCAGTACAGTGTACAGTATACTGCTGTAGAATAATACTTTTCTATGTTTGAAAAGCGTGTAACATAAGAACAAAATAAGAACATTTTGAGCCTGAAATAGGCCAAAAAGTAAGAACACTGAGCCTGGGAAAAATTTTACTGGTTCTTATATAAAAAAAAAAGTATACTTCATTGGCACAATCGGCCCAAAGGTTGCGCCAACAACCGTGCGCCATAACATCTCAAGTGGTGCCCACAACCTTTGGAACAAAGAGCAGTACAGTAAAATTACAAAACAATTATTTACAACATAACCGTAAAATTGTAGGGGAATTTAAAATCAGTAAAAAACAATAATAATCATGAAAGGCCAATACCAAACAATTAAAAATTATCGTTCATTCAGTAAGTATTGCCTATAAGTTTACAAATCAAAGAATTGTACGAACAAATAACAACAACATCTTTAATACCAGAGGGCAATGAAGCAGACTGAATAGGAAAATTATTAACAGATGAAAATTTATAAGCGTTTGTATAATATACCGGATGAGTAAAAGTTAAAGTATATAAACGTCGGGGTTTAAACAACATTAAGAAGTAAACTCATGTAACAAAATAACGTGAAATAATAATTCAGGTACGCCAACCTGATTAACTGTACCTTAATTGTGACCGTACTACAATGATATAACCTACACCCTTTTTTATAAGAACACCGAGGCTGAGGTTGCCCCAAAAATAAGGACAAAATAAGAACAAATTAAGGCTGGGTTAAAAAGTTAAATGAGTTTATATAAAAAAATAAATTAAAAAAAAACCAGACACCAACAAATCAAGCTAGTCACATATGTTAAAAAAGAACACTGAGCCTGGGCAAAATTTTACTGGTTCTTATTTTTAAAAATGTATAGTAAAATGATGCTTTCCTACCAATTTTGTTTTCGTATACTAACCTACGGCTATGCATTAGGACCAATATTAGAACTGATAGTTTTGTTTGCTTGATTTTATTCAAATTTCAACTAGCTCTGTGTTGCACACGGTCTACAAGATTAACCTACTTTCTAACCTCGATAAACTTATTAATTATAACACAATTATAATAATATAATACAATCTCACCCATAGGCCACTTTCAAGTTAATTCCACATGTATGCTATATTAACTTTGTATTTTGCTTACTTTTACCAGACAGCAACGTTTCAAGCTGCCCTTATCACTGATGGTGTTTATAGTTTTGTTATCTTCAACTACGAGATTGGTGGTATGCTATGGAATCCAGATGTTCTTGCTCAGAAAAACCTTGTGATCGGTTATGGTGTTGGTGCAAATGCTAATAGAACATTCAACAATGTCCAGTTGGATTCAAAATTATTTCCAACTGAAGATTCAAGATACTTTCCAGATTCAACAAGTAACACAGGCTTAGATGGTCAATGGTTCTTTAGACTTGAGGACAATAACGAGAATACTATTAATTACAGACAGTATTGTATGAATTGGAGGCAGACTGAATCTGACGACTTGTATTGGTTAGATCGCCTGGGAACCTGTCCTTGTGCGTTTGGTCAAGGTTCAAATGATCTAGGATTTGGAAGGGGTAGACGGGGTCGTCGAGGAAGAAATCAAGACGCAAATGAAAACGGGCAAATGAGTCCACTATCACCTGAGCTCCTTAATGATATTGAAAGTATTTCAGGTAAGACATGTTATAATTATTGTTATAATTATTACCGTTTTTACATAATAACAAAAAAAATACTTCTATCCGGTTATGTAATTAAACATTTCATAAAAAAAACTAAAATTTATTTGTGTTTGTTTACGTCCTGCAGGCACTCCATTTTGCCTGCAGACACAAGTGCCCTCGGCTTCAGGGGCAGGCATGAGATGTTGTTACAGAGGAGATGGCTCATTAATAGAAGGATATGAAAACGATGTATTTACAAGTAGTTTTGTTCAGCGATATCAGTTTGTAGAAGGACCATTCTTCAATTTCTGGATATATTTATATTGGTTCTGTGAGTATATTGCGACATCCGAAGTATTACATGATACATGCTATAATAGTGATAAACGTAATATTGATAAAAACTACTAAATAATGCTAGCTAATAGTAAAAGCCTTCCCAACAATACAATCAAAACCCACATATATTGATTAAATTACAGCATTTGAAAAATTTAAGAACATTTAGATTTTGAAACAAGATAAAATTTATGAAACATGTGATAATACTTTGTTTTTAAAACTGTGCGTGATCAGAATTAATATGTTGTTTGGAAGGCGAAGGTTATTCCACTGAACTATGACAGATGGGAAAATGATGATTAATATGCATGGGTTCTGCATTTTGGAACTACGAGAGGTTTTGAGTAGACCTAATTATTTCGTCTCGACGCCCTGGTTCAATTAAAGTGCCAGGAGTTAATAATGAATAATATTTACGAATCTGAACAATGTTACAAGTTTGAGTACCAAACGTCTGGATTCAATGGTCATAATATTCATTTTCTTACACCTATCTGGATACAACATCTTTATGTATTAGCACTATAGGCCTATTAGACTTTTTAAAATCTAAAGGAACATTTGTAATACAAATTTTTTAAAGATCATGCCAAGAGACAGTGAAATAACGATGCTATTTCCTTAGTCATTACACCAGATATACCATCGAAACCACTAGCAGATTTGGCATTGGATTCCTTTATCAGCGCTTCAAAAATATCTGAAGTACATAAAATATAACAATATTTATCAACATTTGGTACAGAGTTAACATCACAAATTGAAGTCACATGATCAGTATTAAAACATAAAAGAAAATAGTTATTCGGCATATTTGCCTTGTCAATATTGTATGAATGAGGTCAGGAATGATATTTGGTTTTTTCATAAAATTATTTATTCCCCTTCTCAGAATAACTAAACGTTGGTCTTCAGAAACTCTTTTAAATTAGTTATATTTGGCAAGACGCAATTCCTTAACTACTAAGTTTCTCATTTTACGAAACTTGGTCCAATGTTCTGGGCTGCCGGACTTTTTGGCACGACGGTAGAGATTTTAAAATGAGAAAGCTTAATCTTCTATGAAATAATAACCGTATATATATATACCTTTTGTTTTAGATTTTGATTTAATTCCTCAATATGTTTGCTGTGAAAAATCAAGTGATCCTTACTACTGTAACCTGTACTCGGGGGTTCGGCCTAAAGGAACATGTAACGGTTATCTTCCACCAAATACAGGTACCTAATATGTTTATTCAGATGATGGTTAAATCATATAGACCTATTACAGCTAAAACACGACTTTTTCGGGTGTTTATTTTTCGTTTGTTATATATATATAACAAACGCAATAGCGTGAAACTCCGAGTAGCAACATTCTGTTCCAGCGACCTCCAGTTCTATATATATATTATACACAACAATACAATAAAGACAATAAACAATAAAGAACCTTATCATAACATAATTCATTGGAGCTTCTACTCAATTTGCAAATTATAGATACAATCCTTATACATATTATAAGTGACAGGTAGAGAATTCTACCATGATTAAATTAAGCGAAAATAACTAGGAGTTAAATCTATCTATGATAAATAGGAACGTTAACTATAGACTGAGTAAATAAAACCACTTACAAATTTGTAACTGTATTCATTTAAGCATGTTTATTTATTGTTGTGTCAACAGAGCAATGTTAATGTTTAAAAGCAATAATAATGGTAACTTATAAATGTTGTATGTAGGTTGGATGTTTGGTGATCCTCACATCCGTACACTTGATGGGCTTGAGTACACATTTAATGGCATTGGTGAATTTGTTCTCGTGACTGTCAACGAAGGAGACTTTGTATTACAAGGTCGAATGGAAAAACCAATAATTGAAGATGAAAATGTACTAGCTACCATATTCTCAGCGTTTGCAGCTCAGGAAGGATCGACAAAGGTGATGTTTATGTTGCTCTTTATTTTTCATTATTTCTATAGGCTTATATTTATATTTTATTTAAATTTACACTTAAAAGCAATTGGCCCATCACTTACAGAAAAGAAACAATTCATTTAATTTATATTTCATTTATTTCACCAAATTCATTAAAATACACATAAAGATAATGGAAATTTGTTTCTATGGGATCACAGACAAATTTGGAATTTAATTGCAGATAGTTTTTAATTAGAGGGAGACCTGTATACAAAAATATTTAATGAAGAAACATTTAAATACATAAAAAACAACAATGAGCAAAATATAAAACATACTTTGTGAGTAATTGATTATGTAAACTTTCTCTGTAGTGTTGTGTTAACGGGGTTTCTTTTTACATAACATAACCACAAGATTCACAACCTTCGGGAAAGTTATAATAACGTTTTGTGTTTGCTGGGGCGGGCATTATGAGATTAGTGCAGGATAATAATTATCAAGTCTACTAGCTACCTTCAATATATTTATCGATTTCAGTAAGTCTTCATATTTATGTGTCTAATTTACAGGTACAAATGACGCTAAATGCAAGTTCGAATGATTTCGCTATTTTAGTTAATGGAAGCATCGTTGTAGATAAAACAAGTCTGGCTGAAGGTAAATACATTTATAAATTAAGTTTGTATGGCGTAATATAAAAGAATGATATAGAGTTTTATGATAATATTTAGTATTTTATTTATTAGCATTTAAACACTTTTAATTAGTGTTCATTAACACATTATTCGCTTCATGATTATGAGCGGCATGTTTTGTGTTATTTTAATGTATAAGAAGTTGAAAGATTCACTGGACTGCCTGCGTGGTAAAAAAGGTGATTATGTTAGACAAATATTTTTTTACCATTTTAAAATTAAATTTATATTCACGGTGTTCTTCATTCTATTTGATAATAAGAATATATACATATTTCATAGCAGTAGTAGATACGAACGTATTTTCAAATATGTAGATTATTATTGGCGATTTTACTACCACAGTACCACAGTATTTGCGAACAATATTAGATACTGCCATAGAATATTGCCACTATGTAACATTTCGTGGAAATGCTGCATGATGCCAATTTTTGGTGAAAGTACCTACTATTAATTGTAATCACGCAACGTTTCTTATAAATCTTATCTAATTATGATATACTAATGTGCCTCTCATAGATAGCATCTACATATGTATATGTGTCTCATTGGAGTAGACCTATTTAATAATTGTTTGAATTTGATTCCTATCCTGGTTTTGTTTTAAACAGTACGTGGTGTTAGAAACATAATTAATACTTACGCAAATTGACTTATTACATTTTCCACAGGTCCTTACACACCACCAGCTGATCCTGGTTTTATAATAAGTCTCCCTTCTGGAAATTCAACTGGGAACCGTGTAATTGCGTCATGGTTATCCGGAATTGCCATATCTGTTGGTTTATCTGGCCCAGCATTAGACGTTGTGGTGTCTATTCCGGAAAGTTTTAAAGGTTCTACCAAAGGATTATATGGTATGTAGTTATACCATGGAGGAAATATACCAATGGTTCCCAACCTGGGGTCCGCGAAAAATAATTTGGGGTCCGCCAAGTCAAAGGGGTCCGCATGTGGTCCGCGAAAATGTGCGGGTCCGCAAACATTTTTGGGGTCGGCTACATTATTAGAACAACTTTTTCATGATTATTTTTTCTTGACTTACAATAGTGTGATCATGCTTCACAATAATGAAACACCATTGACCGGCATGACTTCGTTCACTGTAAATTGTTTTAATTGGCATTGTATTTTAATTCCATTATTTTATTAGTGATCTAATTGAATCGAATAGAATAGGAGAGCCACATGATAGTGGCAATCCTCAGGTAATGTACAACTTGTGTCCATGTTTTCTCTTGTGTTGATTTTACCTGGATAGAAATTGAATAAATTTAAAAAAAAATCAGGAGGGAGCACTACATTTGACAAAATTGAAAGTAAATGGGGGATAACAGAATATTACATTCAAATGTTGAGTCTGATAGTGTCATTTCCGAACATCTACAAGTGCTATAAACATAAAAATTTCCATAAAGCGTAAATCCCCTATCTGTAAAATTTACTCTCTGTTCCCCTCCCCTCCAGCCTGTGTGGAATTTCAAGATCCAAGATGTCGTAATTTGGCGAATCATCTTCTATCTATAATCTTATTGGCGTAATATCAACCATGGTCGCCTTAAAATGTACACATTGAAAATAAATATGGGGGATGGAGATAAAAGAACATTACCTTAAAATTTTGTGTCTGATAGTGCCATTTACGGCCATCTAGGCATGGACATAAAAAAAATATTGTGTACCTCAGCCCAACCATGGTAGGGCTGAGTTGGTTTCTGTTTCGAATTCCAGTATTCGCCACTGTTTAATGTTGTACTTTCGTGGCGAATCATATTTTATCTGTAGGCCTAATTTTATTGTTGGGATATGGACAATAGTCATATTTGGACTGGACATGGAGGTCCGTGAAGGTTTTAGCATATTCAGAGGTGTCCACGAACGCAAATAGGTTGGGAACCATTGTAGACCACACTTTAAATTGTTGTGCAATATTATTGGAGTTCTACACTTTATCTTTTGTCTATACCCGCATTTGAGTTATCGATATGTAATTTAACATTATTATGTATTTTTATAAACGAAACTATAACTTCTTCAGGTGTTTGGAATGATGATGTAACCGACGATCTTACATATCCAAACAACAGTATGATGTCTCTACCGGAAAACGGAACTTTGACAGATAGTGACGCATTTTATTTTGGAGTTACATGTAAGGCACATATTACTTGTTACAGAAGAGAGAGCAGCCTAGTTTAGTCGGTTAATCCGGTGGTAGCCATTGTGTGTGCGCTAAACCGTGGAGATCTCTAGGTCCCCGGTTCAATTCCCATCGCTGCCTCTCTAGCCTGGTTCTCACGAGAGCCCTAGTATCCGGATCGGTAGCTAACCGTTAGCGCTAACCGTTAGCAGTATCCGGATACCGCTAACGGTTAGCAAGCGCTATCGGTTAGCAAGTTTAAGTTTTATTATCAACCAATCACACGTACGCGTTTACAATTTCCAGTTTCTTATTGGCCAGTGATTCGATCATCATATTTTTGGTATCTGGATCGGGATTTTCTCGTATGGACGCACGACAGCTAACGGTTAGCAGGATCCGGATCCTGCTAACCGTTAGCTGCCGTGTGAGAACATAGCCCTTGTGTTTCAGCTGGAGGGCTGAAATACAAGTTACAATAGCGCACCGTCTTTCGGATGAGACGTTTAAGCCGTTGGTCCCGTGTGCATTTATGGCCCATGCGCACGTTAAAGAACGCAGTACACTCTTCGGAAAAGAGTAGGGGATTGTCTCCTGGTGTACTGCCCAATCCCCACCAGAAGGACCCCACTGGAAATAAGTCTTCTTCGAGACTTTCGTGGGCTAACCTTGGTGTTTACACCGAATAATCCAATCCAATCCAAAATGTTTCAGTTTAACAAATATAATCATTATTTCTTATCAGAAAACATTAACAAATTAAGATAGTATAATAGAGGATACAGTAGTATCTTATCTGAGATTAATCAGTGGACATTTCGGTTAACAAATTAACACCACTTGATTTTAGGGAGAACAACGGATCAATCCACACTCTTCACATACTCTGATGGAGAATCATGGAACACTTTGAATGACTTAACATTCGTACCAGTATTTTTAGAAGACCTTATCAAAGAGAATGAAGGTACTGCACTGTATAATGAGGCAATACAAGAATGCGGCGATGATCGTATGTGTCTTTTTGATGCATTAGCAACAAGTGATATTTCTTTTGGTGTAAATACAAAGGAAACAAATAACAACAACAACGAAAATGCAGATGAACTTGGTAAGTTAATGAAAAGGTGAATGTGTACGGTAATCGATATTTACGTAGTTTACTTCATAATTAGGCAGATATAATTTCAAGATTTTAGGAATAAATATATCTGTTTGTTTTTTCATCTAATAGCAAATTTTCCACCCAACATTACCAGTGTTATTGCCATTTCACCCGAAAATGCACTAAACGGAACTAACCGACTTATGGTTATGGTAGATAATCAGTATATACTCATGGTTATTGCCTCAGACCCCGAAGATGACCCAATTACATATTCTCTTGAAGACATTGTCCCAGGTGGGGGCATTGATGCTGGTAAGTACCAATAACAAATACGCTTTATATATATATTGTTAAATTAAATATATTACTATTATTTCTCACTAAAAGACAAATGCATCACCTTTAGTATAAGTTATAATCTTTATATTTTAAAAGATGGTTATTTTACCTGGACACCTGGTTCAACCGACCAAGTTTTACTAACATTAGTCGCAATAGACAACAAGGGTGCAGCGACAGCGTTTCCACTTGAGGTCATCATTTGTGAATGCCAAAATGGCGGTGTTTGTGATTTCAATGCTCTTGTCGATGGATCAGACCTCTTGAACAATCGTTTTGCGGTAAGATAATAACATATTTAAAGCGTGTTTTATTATATAGGCCTATATTTCGTTCGTAGAAAGAACATGGAAATTCATTGGTAATGGAATTTACAACAGTGAATACCACGTACAGTAGAGATTAAAATCCAATCTGTCTTAATCTTCAAAAGGATTCTAGAATAATATACAATATTATTAGTACTAAAGAGCAGGAGCAGATTCAGGATTTTCAGGAGATGTGGGGGAACTATTGTACCAAGAATTGAACCTCAGCCTAACCATCCATGCTAGAATAGTCCCCTCATGTCCAGTGGTAGCACCATCAAGAGTGTTGGGGGCAGGGCAGGGAGTCCAATTTATTATCCCCTTCATTATTATGTTTTCTTGTTATTTTTGCACCGTTTTCACAGGTTTCAGAGTGTAATTGCCCAGCTGCTTGGACGGGCACAGATTGTAGTGATGATTACAATGCATGCTTAGATGAGCCTTGTTATACAGGTGTTGCATGTTTTGACCAGATGGCACCATTGGCAAATGTAACATGTGGTAGCTGTCCCAGTGGTTTGATTGGAAATGGATTCAAATGCTATGGTAACGATTTGATTTTTTGAAAATAACTTTAATGAACTTATCCAACAACAATTAGTTCATAGTGACCTATAGTTCAGTGGTACCCAACCTGGGGTCCGTGAAAAATAATTGGGGGTCCGCCAAGTCAAAGGGGTCCGCAGGGGGTCTGCGGAAATTGTGGGGTCCGTTAAATTATTACATTAAATTATAACTTTTTTATAATTATTTTTTTCTTGTCTTAGATTAGTGTGATCATGCCCTGACAATAATGAACTACCTTTGACAGGCATGACTTTGTTCACTTTAAATTGTTTTAATTGCCATTATATTTTAATTCCAATATTTTATTGGTGATCTGATAGAATCTTTTATAGTAGTCTAACAGTGTCGTTTTCGACCATCTACAAGTGCCATAAACATAAAACTTTCCTACCTCAGGGTGGGGCTGAGGTAGCGTAAATACACTATCCGTAAAATTTACTGTCTTTACCCCTCTTCTCCTGCCTATGTCGAATTCCAAGATCTAAGATGTCGTAATTTGGCGAATCATCTTCTATCCATAATCTTATTTTCGTAACATTAACTATGGGTCGCCCTAAATTTTACACATTAAAAATAAAAATGGGGGATGGAGACAAAAGAAAATTACCTTAAAATTTTGAGTCTGACAGTGCCATTTCCAGCCATCTAGAAGTGGCATAGACTAAAAAAAATAATTGTGTACCTCAGCCCAACCATGGTAGGGCTGAGGTGGTTTCTGTTTCGAATTCCAGTATTCGCCACTGTTTAATGTTGTACTTTCGTGGCGAATCATCTTTTATCTGTAGGCCTAATTTTATTGTTGGGATATGGACAATAAGTCATATTTGGACTGGACATGGAGGTCCGTGAAATTTTAGCATGTCCAGAAGGGTCCGTGAACCCCACCGTCGTCCGACGCCACGAATAAACAACGCTGTTTTGATTGCCAATCCCTAGGGGTCTTCATGCACAATTTTGGCCCTAAAAACTCTTCCGTGGACCAAGCCACGGGTTTTATTCCGGGAGCCTGATTCTTGGTTCGACCACCTTTTGGTAAATTTCCGGAGCTACCACTAGCCTTGCGGCTTCAATTTAATCGTCTCGGCCCAATGCTTACCGGCTTAGAGTAGGTGCTCTTTTCTCTTATGTATAATGTTTCATCCTCTATATTATGTATAGTTAATTGGCCTAAATATCTAGCAATATTGTCTCCTGTTATAGATTACAATGAATGTGTCGAAGGTCGTGACAGAGAAGATGGTGTAGAATTCTGTGAACAGGAATGTACAAATACTTTAGGGTCATATACATGTAGTTGCAGAGAAGGATACGACTTGGATGTCGGTCTTAAAACATGCAACGGTAGGTTACATATTTATATTCACTAAACGCTTCAAGCAATTAAATGGTCTGTAGTTATCATAATATAATCACAAAGCCTGTTATAAAATTTTGAAATACTTTAAAAATGATAAGGATATTATAGCAATAAGTGTATTATAATTACTTTTACATCGGTTTTCTTTAATAATATAATTTGATTTGTAATTTCTTAATTTATTATTTCTCTTCTAACAGAATTCGTTTATTATTTATTATTTTAGAATTATATTTCATAAAACTTTAATTATTTTAGCCTTGTAAACCTACACTGTTCCTATAAATACTACGTGTTTTTTTTTTTTTTTTGTTTTTTTTTTAAATTTTTTTTGTTTTTGTTTTTTTTTAAAGACGTTTGTGCTTATGGTTCATTGTATGTTATAATAATAATGCATAGTTTGCACACACGTGTATGATAAAAAAGGACATTTTAAATAGGTCTGTTTGTATTTTTTAGACATTGATGAATGTATGACGATGATAGACGACTGTAGCGACCAGGCATCATGTACAAATACTGAGGGATCTTTCAACTGCACGTGCTTAGATGGCTACAGTGGTGATGGAAAAACATGCAATAGTAAGATACAACTAAATACTGACTCTCTTTAGCACTGTAGCATAATAATAATAACAATTTAAAAAAATTGTAGAATAAAGTACATCTTTGCTTGGACAAAGTTTGATGAAGATTCAATAATAATATAATGTAATTGTAGTGGTGTATTCCTAATACTTTAGAGGACAAAATTATTATGTGAAGGAGCGAATAATAGTGTATAACAAAATCCAGGTCCCGCAGATCTCAAGAATATTTTTTGATGTATCTTATTCCGGCACACATTGCGTTGCACTGCGGTCGTAATCGTCGGCCAAAGTATCTATCTCGTGACTCAACAATACTTTATTTTGTATTTCTTCTTGAAAGATATAAATGAATGCGGAAGAGTGGATTTCCCTTGTGACAACAACGCAGACTGCACCGACACGGATGGTTCATTTGTTTGCCAATGTACTGATGGTTATGAAGGAAATGGACAGACTTGTGAAGGTAAATTAATGACCACCTAATTACAAATTGGTGCTTTAGTCACAATAATTAGTCTGCCCATAACACAACAGCCACAGATCTTCGATTTTCCTTCAACCCCGATGAGAGTGCTATGGTAGCCCCATGACTAAAACATTGGTGGCTTTCTGTGCTCACGAATATGCTTTCAATGGAAGAGGTAACTATTTTTTCAGAACAACAGACCTTATAATATTTTAGTAGGCACGCCATCTTTACCATAGCTATTTTCTTCTACCATGCCATTGGCTGCCAAATTTCGTTTCCCTTGGGAAAGCACATTGTAGAAAATCTTCGATTGCTGATCCCGACATGGTGGCCTTTCGTTGCTCCCAATCCTATCACTTGTTCCAGTCAGCATTTCTAACAGCTCGTTTTGTTCTGGGAGGCATTATATAAGTTTACATAATAATCCAATTGGTACCAAATACAATGATTCTTCTATACTTTGCAGGCCTGCTTTGCCCCTGCATGTCCTTTTGATAGCCATTCAGTACGGTACGCTTCGCTCGCATAGTTTCAATAGGTTTTTCAAATAAAGAAGGAGAGCAATTAATTGCTATCCTGGATGATTTGTTTATCGATTCCTAAAATCACTGAATACAACCTGTGCACGGCACTGAAAACGACTTAATAGTACCCAGACGACTATTTTTAGCATCGACCAGGGACCTCCCTATTTCTGTCAGTTATTGCACGCACAGGCGGCTTACAAAGAGATCATGTTTCCTATAGTTGAGTTGGGTGCCTTACACTACCAGTGGCGGATTTAAGGAAGGACCCAGCCGGCACGCCCCCCCCCACCCTAATTTTTTTTTTAATTAGAAAAAAAAAAGTTAGAAAAAAAGAAAATTATAAAAAATGTTGAGTCTAAAAATGCCATTCCCGGCCATCTCTAGAGGTGTCATAATCATACATTTAATAAATAAATATATATATATATATATATATATATATATATACTATACATATACATATATACACACACACATATATATATATATATATATATGTATATATATATGTATATATATATATATATAATTATAATTTTTAGATGTCGACGAGTGTTATCGTTCACTTCATACATGCGACATTCAAGCTGAGTGTATGAATACGCAAGGTTCATACTTGTGTACCTGTGCTTCTGGATGGACTGGTAACGGAACCTTTTGCCAAGATGTAGACGAATGTGCAAATGAGCCGTGTGCCAGCACGAGATATATGTGTGAAAACACACCTGGTGGCTTTGTTTGTAGTTGTCCAAATGGCTACTATGATGGATCACCTTGCATGGGTTAGAGTTTTTAAATTTTCAAATTACTCAAATTAGAAAATTTATAATCAAATTCGAATCTTTAAATAATTTTTATTATAAAATAATTACTATTCATGTATTTCTCTTTATTTTCAATTTCTTTGACCTTTTATCTATTTATGATTGACATAATATTATGCCCATTCATTATTCGTATTATATAGATCAAACATTGCTTTTCAGCATTTTTGTATAAAGTACACTGTCTTTTTCATGCTGTAACTAAAAGTTCATTTATTTGGGCTTCCAACTTAAAATTATTGCCTAAGGTTACTCCTAATTCATTGTATAATGACAATAACATGACGTACTATGCATATGTTGATATATTATAAAAATGCTTCATAATACATTTATCTAATTGACAGACATTGATGAATGCAATAGCGGCACCCACAACTGCTCTGATACAGCAATGTGCGTTAATACCAATGGTGGATTTGAATGTCCGTGTAGAACAGGCTACAACCTAACAGATGGTACATGCCAAGGTATGCATCATTTTTCCAATACAAAATATGAAATATGTAAATTATTTATAATATTACCAAATTAAACAAAAGTTAGGAAAACCAAATAATTTTGTAACTGATGTTATTTTATTAAGAATGAAAACCTAAAAAAGTGTAATGTATAGGCCTATCTGATAAAAATATCATTCATTTATTTAAGTTATGTACTTTATCAAATAACATTGTATACTTTATCACACATAGACATCAACGAGTGTGCTGCTGTCCTGAAACCGTGTCACGTAAATGCTGATTGTGAAAACACAATTGGAGGTTTTGACTGCACATGCCATTCCGGTTACACGAAGAGTGGAAGTGGCTGTGATGGTATGTGCCACATATTGGCTATACATGTTTCCCTCTATTAAAGTCCACTCCAATTAAAATAGTATAATACATACTCCAAGTATCGAAATGCACGCCATCGTGTCGAGATTCAATATTTTGACATTAATTATATCATTATCAGGATTATACTATCTTATCGGAGATTAATCAGTGGACCTTTCGGTTTTTGGAAAACGCTCCTTACTCCAATTAAATGTGTGTATATATATTAACAAAAAGATAAATGATAATAATATCAGTGCTTTAATAACAGCAGGCCCGTAGGCAAGGTGGGGGGGGGGGGGGGGGGGGGCAGCCCCCCCCCAAATTCCAAAAGGTCCACTTTTTAAAACCTATGATTTCACAAAATCGTTCCTAATTATCACAAAATGCTATAGCATGCATTGCATTATATATTTGCCAATCTAACTGTTGATTTTTAATAATGTGGTATGAAATTTGTTAGAAATTGATCGTCTCCGGTGATTGCAGATTGATCTATAATATGAAGAATGTTATCTATAGGCCTGCAGATGTACAGGACATAATAACGTTACTTTTTCAGGTCCCAAAAACACCCAAATTAATGAACATTTAAATGAAATATTCATGAATGCTTGAATGCATGAATGCTTGAGAAATATATTATGTAAGACCCTCAAAATGCTACTTTTTGTTGCTTTTCTCACAAACCCCCTCTAGGCCTCTGCCCCTGGACAATTATTTCACTAAAATCATTCCTAATTATCGCGAAATGCTATAGTATGCATTACATTTTTTTTGCCCGCTCTTCCACCCGTTGATTTTTAATAATGTGCTACGAAATTTGTTGGACATTATCAGCTCCAGTGATTGTAGGCCTACAGATGTAAAGGACATGAAAAATTATAATTTCACAGTGGTGGATTCAAGGGGGGAGAGCCCCCTAAAATTATAAAAGAAATGGAAAAAAAAGAAAAATCATAATTAAAGTTTGTCTGAGAGTGCCATTTCCGGCCACTTCGAGGTGCCATAACCATAAATTTTCTTACCTCAGCCCCAGCCATGGTGGCTGAGTTGGTATTGACCATCTCTCTGTGCTCCATTCACCCCACTCTCTATTCTCCTGCTTTACTGTAGGTCCCTAGACAATACTCAAATGAATGAAAATTTAAATAGGATATTACAAATTATGGATTTTAGAAATCCATTAAAAAAGGCCCTCAAAATGCTAATTTGTCAGAGCTTCCAGAAGATTCGCCTCGCGGGGATCCCTAGGCAGTCGCCCATCGTAAGGTCCGCTTCGGATGCAAAACGCACCTCCCCATCGAAAATCCTGCCTACGGGCCTGTAACAGTGCTCAAATAAGGAACATGTTGTAGCTAACGTATCAAGAATAAAGTTCCTTTATACTGTAGTTCCTCAGTTGTATGAAAAAGTGATTCTGGCGGGATTCGAACCTGCAACCTCATGCATATAACATATATAAATTTGGTATTATTATTATTATTATTATTATTATTACAGATATAAATGAATGTGAACTTAATATTAACAACTGCCAGCAACTGTGTAACAATACAGTTGGAAGCTATGATTGTTACTGCAACACAAACTATGTATTACAAAATGATGGAATGTCTTGTCAACGTAAGTATATTACAATGACCACCATGACCATATTAGACTAATTCGTGAATATATTCCTGGATACACCGATAAATGCCAATGTTACCTTGAATATCGTACCCATCTACGAGGATCTTTGGGTTGGGGTCTACACTCAAAGCGTTTATAGATGAGTCTGGCGATTCCATTATTTGCTTTTTCTGTTCGATGCGTAAGTTTCAAGGAAACTGTGGCATCTTTCGACGGGAATGTTCCCAGAACGCCCCCTGGCGAGAATTTGCGAAGCAGATCGAATAATAGAAATGAAACGCGGTAATTTGTTGGTTACGTAAGAGAGAGACAACAACAACCTTTCTAAATAAACCACATATCATGCAAGTCTCAACTTTGGGAAAGCCACCGACAGGCCGTACAGAGACCTGCATCTTTATAACAAGCATTGCTAACTCTCCCCAGCCTATGGCCGTGTCGAAAATTCTAAAACAAATTGAAGCTTAAACATCTTCATAAAATTCCACGTCCCCATACCAAACTCCATGTTTGGCACCCACGCTCAATACAACATGTCAGATGGTTCTCTCTGTTTTTACCACACTTTCAGTAACAACCAAATATTTTGTCTATCCCATCTTTTCCCACTCCCATGCGCCATGCTCCTTTTTGCATTGTCGCACACCTCACTCTAGTTCCGTTGCCTCTGGTCTTGGTTTATCCAGTATCATACTTATAGACTATAAACATCGCTGCCGATTGTTTAATTTACTTTATAAGGCAGTCGGTAAAGCAAATAATCCTTGTTTGGATGTACTATTCTATTTCTGTATTTCACTTACCGGTTTGATCCCAATTAATATTAATTTGCATTATAATCATAATATAAAGCAACATAATGTACTGATAAATATTTAATAGTAGTTTATGTAGTGAAAATATACAACATAGCACCGTATAAAAATGGTTTTGAAATGTATGTGCAATATTTTTCATTCCAGCTATACAGGGTGCAGAATGTACTAACAATCCATGTGTGAACGCATTCTGCTCAATGAATGGAGATGCTGTTGAATGTCTATGTAAACAAGGATATGGATCCATCGATGGGAATTCAACACATTGTCAAAGTATTCGACTTTTCCGTTTAAACTACAAATTCTTAACTCCAAAAACATATATTAATTATCAAATAATTTACATTAAGAATATAAAGCACCTTGAGCACTACTGCAGTGGATATGTGCGCTTTATAAATCTTATCTTATTATTATAAAAGCATATTGACAATTTAACCGGACATAGCAACTGTAAGACGGTTTAGTGTTTATGCCTATATATTATCCTGATTACATATATGATGTTAGAATATATATATATGATATATATATATAT